CAACAAAACCAGTCATATGGGGGCCAGCAGTTCGCGTGGTGGTTAAGGCCCCGACTCCCATATGGCTGCGTACAGTTTGAGTCCCCGACAAGGCGACCTGAAACTGACACTGGGAAGGCGGGTGTGCCCAGAATCCCAGGAGGGGAGTAGAAGGGAAGGGATTACAACATGGCCACACCCCTAGGGGGTGATTTCTCACTTTCTTTCTTTGTCTCTGTCTCTCCAAGGGAGCACACATGCCCTATAGCAAAAATCCCTTTCTCAAGAAAAAAAAAAGTCATACAATGTCTGCCTTTTATTTGAATTATTTTTTTAATTCCCAGAGAGTGCATGTGTTTGCTAAAGACAGGAAGAGGGAAACAGGGCCCTGAGCTGTGGTTACTTACAACCCTCTCCTCCATTTCTCCACTGTCAGGTCTTCGAGCACAGCCACCTGGCATGTTTTTCAAGTCATCAGGACAGGATTCAAATGACCTGTGTTCAGCCATGTGGGATCCGGGGCCTTAACCACAAGGCTGTGAGGCGGACTCCCGCAGGGCTGGGCTTTTACTTCTCGCAGTTCGTAGCTGCTCTCGGAAAGGAAGCGAATCTCCCAAGGCCACCGCCACACGGAGCACTTCCATCCCTGCAGAGGTCTGCTACCACTTGCAATCCATCTCCCCCTCCACTCAGCTGCCCCTGCCCGGCCGCCTGCAGCCACCTGCACCGTGGGCACCTTCACCAGTGCTGTGGGAATGGGTGGGACGGCTGCCTTGGGAGGGCATGTCTGGCTGTCAGCCTGCACAGTGGGAGCTGCCCAGCTGTGCGTGAGTAGCCCCCTCACTGCTGCGTCTACACCCATGGACCGCACAGCCTATCCACTGTGAGTTTCAGGTGGTGGAGCAACAACCAGGCTGTGTCCAGGTGGGGTGCTGCCCGGCTGCTGTGCACGTTCACACACGTCTTTGTTGATGATTATCATTGTTTTAATTTGCTAGAGGGTGTGTGCGCACGTGGGAGAGGGAAAGTGGGAAAGCACCCTGGGATGGCCATGCGCAATCCCTTCTCCTCCATTCTCTTTCGGAGTTTGGGCATCCACACGTGTACCCAGCGTTTTTCAGGCTGCAAAGCCCAGGAATCAAACTGCACAGTCCGCCACGTGGGATCAGCTACCTTAACCTCCAGGCCAACAGCTAGCCTAGAGGCACACCTCTTCGCCTGGCTCCATATTTCCATCTCCCGTGGGTAAGTGTGGTGGCAGGAAAGCTGACAGACGCCGAGGCCTGCCCTCCCATGTGCCGGCAGCCCCGCCCACAGCAGGCAGCGTCTGGTCTGCCCTGCTCCCAGCACTCGGTTGACTCGGTCTTCCGGGCAGGCCCCACTGTGCACCCTAACCTTCCCTTCGGGTTGGCTCTGCGGGCCCTGCGCCCACGAATTCGCAGGTCTAGTACCGCCCAGCCAGCTGCTGCGGGCCCACAGCGCACACTGGGAAGCGGGCGAAGAACCGTCCGAGAACGGCCAGCAGGTGGCGTGCAGCGAAGGCGCAGGATCCCACGTGGTCGACTAGCAGTTGGAGTCACCACCCTGGGGCTTGAAGGAGGCTTGAAGAACACACCGGGCGCCTGTGCGTGTGCCCAGGTCCTTGAGAGAATGGAGAAGGGATTGCAGTGGGGCCATCCCCCCAGGAGGTGATTTCTCACTTCCCCTCTCAAGGGTAATTTCATGACTGACTTAATTTATTTCCCTTTTCCTTCTTTCCTTTGATTGCAAGAAGCTGCATGCACTCACCAGAGAGAGTTGGGGAGAAAGCACCCTCCCGAGGGACACGGTCACACTGCAGTCTTTTGCCCTGCCAGGATTTGGGGCACTCGTGCACACGCGCCTGGCATGGGTCTGAGCTGCTGGGGCCAGGGTGTGGACCCAGCTCCATAAGCACAGCCTGTAAGCAGACACTGGGCTGACCCATGGAAATAACCTGGAATGGCCCAGCATCTGTGGCACTGATGGTGGCACACTGAACTTCAGAGCCAGAATCAAGCCGGCCGTAGCCCCAGCCTGCCCAGCCTGGACACACCGGGAGGGTGCCTGAGCCAGGCCCCACCCAGGCAGACTGTGGGCCTGAGGAAGGCAGTGGCCCGGCTGCGTCCTGTACGGGGCTCCCTTCATCCCCTCGTGTGCATGTGTGGGCTACTGTGAATTTGAAAAATAAAAACTGAGGCTTGATCTTACATGTCTATGGTTTCAAATTTTACTTTTTTTTTTTTTTGAAAGTTTTTTGCTATAGGGTGTGTGCACTCACCAGAAAGAGAGACAGAAAGCGAGAAATCATCCCCCAGAGGGGATGGCCATGCCGCAATCCCTTCTCCTCCATTCTCCTCTTGGGAACTTGGGCATGCTCGCACACGCGCCCGGTGTGAGTTTAAGCCACCGGTTCTGGGACTCAAACCATGGTCGACTACATGGGAGTCCAGTGACATAGCCATTATGCCAACTGCTGTTCCCTTATTTGTTATTATTTTTAAAATTTTTATCAGAGAGAAAGAGAGAGTGAAAGGGCAAGTTCGAAAGCAAACCTCTAGGTCCAGGACTCAAACGAGGTCGGCCATGTGGGAGTCCAGTATACCAACCACCACACCACCTGCTGGCCCTCAAATATTACTTCTAATAATTCATTTTTATTGTATTTTACAAAACGATTGGCCCAGCCTGGGAGGTGGTGCTCTGGGCTGCAATGCTGAGGGCCACATAGCCCGGACCTGGCCCCCATGGCATTCTGAGCTGAAGGGCCGGAGCACCGCTGGGGGACGGCCATGGCCCCTCGGGACCTGCTGACGTCTCGCTCTCTTTCAAGTATTCTCACAAGTTTTCCTTATAAAAGAAAAGCTTTCTGTCATAGGGTGCATGTGCTTGCAGGAGAGAGAGAGGGAGAGGGAGAGGGAGCAATAACCCCCTTCCCCAGTCTGCTCTGGGGATTTTGCACATGCACCCAGTGTGAAAAAGCCTCCGGGCCCAGGCTGCGACCCTGGTCAGCCATGTGGGGTCCAGTGCCTTAACCACATCACCTGCTGGCCTCTATCATGATGTTTTGTTTTGTTTAAGAGAGGTTGTTGCTAGGGAACCAGCAGTTAGCGTAATGGCTATGTCGCTGGACTCCCACGTAGTCGACCATGGTTCACGTCCCGGACCCGGTGGCTTAAAACTCACGCCGGGCGCGTGTGCCTGTGTGCCCAAGATCCCGAGAGGAGAATGGAGGAGAAGGGATTGCGGCGTGACTATCCCCCCTGGGGGGTGATTTCTCGCTTTCTGTCTCTCTGTCTCTGTCTGGCGAGCGCACGTGCCCTATAGCAACAATCTCTCAAAAAAAAAAAAAAAAAAAAGAGAGGTTGTTGCTATAGGATGTGTGTGCTTACCAGAGACAGAGAGACACAAAGCAAGAAATCACCCCCTAGGGCGTAGCCACGCTGCAATCCCTTCTCCATTTCTCTCGGGATTTTGGGCACGCATGCACTCATGCCCAGAGTGAAGTTTTATCTTTTTTTCTTTTGGGTTTTATAACTTTATTTGAAAAGTTCTCATCCACACTGTAGGTTCTTTTGTTTTGTTTTGTTTTTTGAGAGGTTTTTGCTATAGGGCGCGTGTGCTCACCAGAAAGACAGAGAGAGACAAAGAGATGGAAAGAGAGAAGTCAACCCCAGGAGGGATGGCCACGCCACAACCCCTTCTCTATTCTCCTCTCGGGAACACACACACACTTGCCTGGTGTGAGTTTAAGCCACCAGGTGCGGGACTTGAACCGCAGTCGACTACATGGGAGTCCAGTGACATAGACATTACCCCAACTGCTGGTCCCGACACTAGGTTTTGGAAGTGGTAGCAGGTCCACAGGTCACCAGAGCGCAGAGCTTGAATCTTCACCCTGCTACGTTTTCCGGATGACCGCACATGGGATACAGCCCAGACAGCTGTGAGCCTGGCACCGATGAGCAGCTCTGGGGTCCCAGCTCCTTCCTGGCACTTTTCCAGCTCTCTGAGTGCCGGAGATTCTTGAAGCCAGCCATGGACGCACTGTGAATGGTAATGACGAATTCCCGGGTCACTGCCTCGCTGCGGGCAGAAAGGCGCTTCTCCTCGCCACCCTTCTGCATGTTGGAAAGCCAGGTGTGAGGCTTTAAGCCTCCAGGTCCAGAGTTCGAACCCTGGACGGCTGCGTGCGAGTCCAGTGACATAACCATTACTCCATCTGCTGGTCCTTCACGAATTTCTTAAAAGCTCCACAATACTGGTCTGCAACAAATGAAAACCCATGCTGGAGCTGGCCCAGGGCAGTTTGGGAAGCTCGCTCTGAGTGCAGCGGTCCCTCACCTGGCGCTCCTCCTGGCCAGGGCTCCAGGCGACACCCTACCCTGACCCAGTGTGTCACGGCATCCTTCCAGGGCCTGACCCTCCCAGGGTTTCGGCCGCCGCCAAGTCAGCACCCTAACTTCCGGCGTCCCAGCTCGAGTCCGCGGAAAGCGCGCTGTCCGCCGCCTTCCCCATCTCCGTGCCCTTCCGGGGTCCCCGCCCGGCTCATCTCACCGCTGTAGCGCATCGCACCGGCAGCCGGGGCGGCGGCGGCCAGGCCGTCCTTCCCACCTGCTTTCGCCCTGGTTGGTCCTGGAGTGCGCCTTGCGTGTCGTCTCACTCACAGGCGCGGCCGTCTCGCGAGGCGCCCACGGGTCCTGCTGCCCTGGGTTTCGGGCCAGGCCTTTCCCTGCGGGCACACCCACCTTGGGCTTGCCCCACCGCGGCGTCTGCGCACGTGGCCTTGGGTCCAGCCTCGCTCTCCGCGCGGGTCGCTCAAGACCCGCTCCCGCGCAGAGCCTAGGGGCAGAGGCGGGCGCAGGGGCAATCTCGGGAGTAAGGCCACGGCTCTGGCCCGCCCACCGAGGGGGCGGAGCCCACGGGCGGGACTCCGCTGCGGCCCCCGATTGGACCAATTGGGCTGCAGACCCCGCCTCGCGCAGGTGCGGAGTGGACGCGGTGCCTTGGTCGGTTCCCTAGGCAACCGGACCCAACAGTTCCAGCTATCCAGGGTCCCCGCCACCTGCGAACAGGCCACCCGCCATGCGCGCAGCCGAGGTGGACCCCCACGTGGCGCACAGATTCCTTCTCCAGCGGCGGCTCGGGAAGGGGGTGAGTTCCGGACGCCCCTGCCCTATGTCCTCTGACCCCTGCGCCAGCTCCTGTACAAACAAACCCTGGACCGCTGAGCCTGTTTCCTCGTGGAGTGGTGAGGCCTTGGCAGTGCCCACGTGCGGGCCCGGACTGCGGGAGCAGGTGGAGCGATCCTAGTACTTCACCAGCTCACCACCCCCCACGCCCACCCATGTGCTGGGGAGGCGGGGACCACCACCTCAGTCGCCAGAAAGGGGCAGAGACCCGCAGGATCAACCCGGCTGAGCTCCCAGGCTCAGCATAGGAATGTGGGTTGGACGTGCAGTGGAGGCCGGGCCAGGTGTGAGCGTGTGTGTATTTGATCGTGCATGTGTGAGCACTCTGTGATCGTGCTGGGCGTTGGAATGTATGTGGGGAGAGAGGAAGGTCCAGGGAGAGCAAAGATCTGGGTGGCTGTCGCAGAAGCCCCAGATCTGTGTGTGACGGAGTGGCTGGGGGGGGCAAAGGGTACAGTCAGACACTGGGAGCCCTTGGCACCGCCTTACAAGGCCAGCCCTCCACACTGTTGAGCACCCCCGGGGCGGCGGAGTTGCCTAGGGACAGTAAGGACGTCAGTGAGCACTCCGAGCTGGGCCAAAGCAGGCCAGAGACCCAGCAAGTGTCAGATGTCAGACCCCCCCAGGTCGGAGGTGGAGCCAGCAGGATTGCTGGCGGGGTGCACAGGTGGGAGGGCCCTGCAAAGTGTAGCCTCACTCTCCCAGGAGCCTCTCAGCCCCTCCTTGCCACTGCCTCCCCAAGCTTCCCTCCGCCCTTCTCTGGAGGGTGCCAGCGTCTAGCGCAGCTGCAGGGTGGGGGTCCGGGTCTCGTGCCTCTGTCCTCTCCCAGTACACACAGTGGGAAGGAGCAGTCTCCAGGCGGCAGGGGGTAATGTGGTGGCCAGGAGCCTGGGCTGGGCTGGGGGCTGGCCCTGTGCCCTCAAGCTGAGCTCCTCTCCAGGCCTACGGCATCGTGTGGAGGGCAGTGGATCGGAGGACTGGCGAGGTCGTGGCCATCAAGAAAATCTTCGATGCCTTTCGAGATAAGATCGATGCTCAGGTGAGTGAGTGGGGCGGGCAGCCTCCTGCCTGGGGCCTGGGAGCAGGTGGGCTGTGTCCTGGGAGAGATGTTTCCAGAGCCCCTCTTCGAGCTGGGCGCTGGGTCCTGCTCACTCTATCTGCCCCACGCCCATTTTGGTCTTTTCCAGAGAACATTCCGGGAAATTCTGCTCCTCCAGGTGAGTGGCCAGGCTCCCTGCCCCAGGGTGAGTCTCTCCAGAACAGGGGGCTGGGCCTCCCAGAGCACCCCTGCCTCCCAGCAGCAGCCAACTCTCCCCAGGAATTTGGGGGCCATCCCAACATCATCCGTCTCCTCGATGTGATCCGGGCAGAGAACGACAAAGACATTTACCTGGTGTTCGAGGCCATGGGTGAGAGCGCCTCAAAGGGGCCTGGCCCCAGGGCCCACAGGGGTCCTGATCCCCTCTGCATGTCCCCGTGCTGCAGGGTCCCCACCGTGGCTGGCCCCTCACCTCGCACCCTGTACCCAAGGGCAAGTGCAGTGTCCAGAGCCCGCAGTGACCACCCTGAGCCCGCCTGCCTGAGTCTCCCCCTGCCCACTCACTGCTATAAACGGCAACGTGGCAGGGCTAAGCCGGTCCACAGCCCTTCTCACTGCTGCCACCCCGCGAGCAAGCCAAGAAGCCCGCAGGGGGCCAGGCAGCATGTGCCGAGGGCTGCCGGGGGGCTTGGGCAGTGTGGCCGTGGGCAGGTTCCGGGTGGGAGACTTGCTGGCTCTGCCAGGGCTCCCCCTGGGCCCGCAGACCACCCTGCACATCCCTCCCGGCCTCCCTGGCTCCACACCCCCAGACCAATGTGCTTGCCTTCTCCCAGACACAGACCTGAACGCCGTCATCCGGAAGGGCACGGTGCTGAAGGACATTCACAAGCGCTACATCTTCTACCAGCTCCTGCAGGCCACCAAGTTCATCCATGCAGGGCACGTCATCCACCGGGACCAGAAGGTGCGACCCCCTCCCCCCA